TTTCCTAACAAGGTCATTCCAAATTGTATGTTGTATATTTTCCGCTCATGCATAACATACTTTTCCCTCTGCATATAATCTCAGTTAGCTCTTCCATTAGGCCAGACAAGGTAGCCCACCTCTAAGCGTCACCTGAACTCAGGGTACTATTTATGGACGGAAAATTACATTATTTAGTGTACGATATTTTTACCATTATTGAAGGTGCCATTTTGGATTTCCTGCCCCAGGCACTGAAATGTCTCGGTTCTGTCTCCAACACCCAGTGTGTTGCAGCCAAAGTTAAACTTAGTATATTAAGTGCTATTATGTCGCAAAATGTAGATTATACATAAAGCTGTGTAATGGTAGCCCCAACAGTACTTTCAAAAGTGGTCACTTTGAAGCGGAGGAGGTAGCAAGTACTTAATCACCATTCTCTGTGGCTTGCCTGCAGTGGTGTTCAAAACATGTGTTTGGAAAGGCTAACACAGATTTAAAATACTGCAATAAGATGCGGGGGAGGGGGTGGTGGGCAGGTCAAAGCAATTGAGAGTAAGGAAAGAGTTTGGTACTTCCTCCCCGTTCTGTTGCCCAACTCCAGACCGCCCCCTCCTGAAGCACTTTTCCCAGTTCGGTTAGATTAGTTTGCAGGCAGTTTCGCTACCTCTGAATCAATATTTTTCCCCGAAGAGCTTTTTTCCCCCAAAATCAAGAGCTTGCTTGTCTTTTTGGCACTTTTTCCATAGACAAGGCCTAGTTTCTAGACATTATTCCTCAGGGTAATTTATGACTGTCCATCAGATGTTTCGAACAGAATATTGAGTCCAGAAGCACCTTAAAGACCAACAAAAATTTTCCAGGGTATAAGCTATTGTGAGTCAAGCTTATACCCTGGAAAATGTTGCTTGCCCAGGGCTACTGGACTTGAATTTTGTTCTACTGCTGCAGACTTGCAAAGCTGCGCTCCTGGAACAGGAGATGTTTAGCTATCCCTTGAGTGGCACAGTTGAAAGACCTTTATGGACTGACTGGCATGTGATAAAGAGCATGGTGTAGGGTTGCCAAGTGTATCTTCGCCAGGAGTGGGGGGCTCCCGGGCGGTGTCTGGTGCATGCCCGCGCGTGTAAAGCGCGCGCGCCGCACGCGCGTCACCCGGAAGTGACGGGAGGACGCCAGGCACGCTGGGGGCGGGGCCACGGCCATACAAGGGAAAACCATAGAGTGCCCAGCGTGCCCACATCACTTCCGGGGCCCGATTCTGCAGCGTCGGAAATCGGGCCTCCAAAGCGGGGGTTTACCCACCCCCACTTGGCAGACCTAGCATGGTGGTCACTGCGAAACACAACCACTTGTAGGCTGCTCCATGAGACAAATTATTTATGCTGAATTATTCCCTAGGCTCTCACAATTTCTCTTGCTTGCCCATGGAAGACATCACCAAAACTGCTTTGATAGCGACATGAGAATGTAAGAAGAGCTCTGAGAAAATCAGACCAATAATCCATCAGTTCTAGAATCTTGTTTCAAACTGTGGCCGATCAAAGCCCCCCAAAAGCTTACAAGCAGGGCATGGAGACTAAGGACTTCTACTGTTCTTGACCCACCAAATAGCCCCTTTTCACAGCTGCTGAATGTTCCATCTGGGTCTATCAATAGCTGTTAGCAATGATGGCTGTCTTCAAGAGGAACTGGTTGGCCACTATGTGAGACACGATGCTGGACTAGATGGACCACTGGTCCTATCCCTTTCTAAAGCCATCTAAGCTAGTAGCCAAGTTAACTATGACTTGTGTGAAGAGTACTTCCTTTTGTTGGACCTGAACATAATTGGATGCTTTCAGGTTCTGGTACTGTGGAAGAGAAGGTGCAAGTTCTGAACTGGTCCATAGTTGCTATTTCAAGGAAGTGCCACAATGCTGATTGCATGTGTGATATTATTCCTCTGTTGATACCCAAAACCTCTTTCACTTGTTGGTGTTCGGCCTAACAGGAAGTAGTGGTTAAATGGTTTACAGACAGTGTAGTCATAAGCATAGTTACACCCTTCTAAGCCCATTAACTTCAGTAGACTTGGTGTTGGTAGAAAGTACCGTCAAGTCGCAGCTGACTTATTGCAAGTCTTTGTGACCCCATAGGAATATATGCAAGAAGACAACCCTTCAAATATGTGGGTCAAAGGTAGTGAAGGGCTTTAAAGGTCATATTACCATCACCTTGAATTGAACTGAGAAACAGACTGATCAAGTTGGGTAGCCGTGTTAGTCTGTCTGTAACAGTAGAAAAGAGCAAGAGTCTAGTAGCATCTTAATGACGAAAAAAATATGTCCAGGGGGTCAGCTGTGTTGGTCTGAAGCAGTAGAACAAAGTCCAGTGGTTCCTTTAAGACCAACAGAGTTTTATTCAAGGTATGAGCTTTCGTGTGCACACACAAAAAGTATTCGAAAATGTGTACATATGTGTACAAAATATTTGGCAGGGTATGAGCATTTGCCTGCTAATGTCATTCGACATCTGAAACCACTCCACTTTCCAATAAATAGGACTGATGGACTCCCATTCTTTCTGTATTTTATTTATTTATTTAATTTTATTTATACCCCGCCCTACCCGCATGCGGGCTCAGGGCGGCTTACAACAGTATGGCACACAATGCAATAAAACGCAATAAAACAATTTACAATAGTTAATACATGGGCCACGCCCAAGGATCCCGCGTGACTAAAACCCTCTCTCCATATTGCACATGCCCTTTCATTCCGAGGGAGGTTACTGTGGCCTCCTGATGTTATCTGCCACTTGGCCTCCGGCGGTGCTGCTAAACGGTCCCCATTGGTGGTAGTGGTTGCGGCGGCGGCTCCTATTCGAAAGCCTGGCGGAAGAGCTCCGTCTTGCAGGCCCTGTGGAACTGCAACAGGTCCCGCAGGGCCCTGATCTCCTCCGGGAGCTCATTCCACCAGATAGGAGCCGCCACCGAGAAGGACCTGGCCCTAGTGGCCGCAAGCCTGGCCTCTTTCAGGCCCGGGGTCGCAAGACGATGCTGCGACCCCGACCGAAGTGCTCTTTGGGGCCTATGTGGGGAAAGGCGGTCCCTCAGGTACGCTGGACCCTGGCCATGTAGGGCTTTAAAGGTAAGCACCAGCACTTTGAAGCGAATCCGGTATGCTATAGGCAGCCAGTGCAGCGCTTTGAGCACAGGCTGGATGTGATCCCATTTAGAGACACCAGCAACCAGTCTGGCCGCCGCATTCTGCACTAGCTGCAGCCTCCGAATCAGCGACAAAGGCAGCCCCATGTAGAGAGCGTTGCAGTAGTCTAGCCTTGAGGTGACCGTCGCGTGGATCACTGTGGCTAGGTCTTCGCGGCTGAGAAAGGGGACCAACTGCCGCACCAGCCGAAGATGGTAAAAGGCCGCTTTGGCAGTGGCTGCTACCTGGGTCTCCATCGATAAGGTGGAGTCCAGGAGCACTCCCAAACTCCTAACCTCCGAAGCTGGCACCAACGGCGCCCCATCGAAGGCCGGGAGCGGGAGCCCCAATCCCATCCCGTTCCGGCCCAGACACAGGACCTCCGTCTTGTATCTGAAGAAGTGAGCAGTGACTCACAAAAGCTCATCCCCTGCCACATATTTTGCTAGTCTTAAAGGTGCTACTGGACTCGTGCTCTTTTCTACTGAAAAATAGACTGGCAGTCAATGTGGTGGTGGTGGAAATGCCATCAAGTCGCAGCCAACTTATGATGACTCCATAGGGGTTTCAAGGCAAGAGACATTCAGAGGTAGTTTGGCATTGCCTGCCTTTGTGTAGCAATCCTAGATTCCCTTAGTGGTCTCCCATCCAAATACTAACCAGGGTCAACCTTGCTTAGCTTCCAAAATCTAATAAGATTGAGCTAGCCTGCGCCATCCAAGGTAGGACTCAGTGGACTTAAGAAAGATGTAATTCTGCTTGGGATCAAAAACTGGCTAATTAATAGGAAACAGGGAGTGAGTATAAATGGGAAATTTTCTCAGTGGAGGGTGGTAAGCAGTGGGGTACCACATGGATCAGTACTCGGTCCGATGCTTTTTCACTTGTTTATTAATGATTTGGAGTTGGAAGTAAGCAGTGGAGTGGCTACATTTGCAGATGACACGAAGTTGTTTAGGGTGGTGAGAACCAGGGAGGATTGTGAGGCACTTCAAAGGGATCTGTCGAGGATGGTCAACGTGGCAAATGGGGTTCAATGTGCCCAAGTGAAAAGTGATGCACATTGGAGCCAAAAATCCTTATAAATACACGTTGATGGGGTCCGAACTGGCAGAGACTGACCAAGAGAGAGATCTTGGAGTCGTAGTAGATAACTCACTGAAAATGGCGAGACAGTGTGCGGCTGCAATAAAAAAGGTCATTGCTATGCTGGGGATTATTAGGAAGGGAATTGAAAACAAATCAGCCAGTATCATAATGTCCCTGTATAAATCAATGGTGAGACCTCATTTGGAGTATTGTGTACAGTTCTGGTCACCACACCTCAAAAAGGATATAATAGCATTGGGGAAAAGTGCAGAAAAGGGCAACTAGAATGATAGAAGGGTTGGAACACTTTCCCTATGAAGAAAGGTTAAAACACTTGGGGTTCTTTAGCTTGGAGAAACGACGGCTGAGGGGTGACATGATCGAGGTTTATAAGATTATGCATGGGATAGAGCAGGCTGAGAAAGAAGTACTTTTCTCCCTTTCTCACAATACAAGAACTCCTGGGCACTCAATGAAATTGCTGACCAGTCGGGTTAGAACAGATAAAAGGAAGTACTTCTTCACCCAAAGAGTGATTAACACATGGAATTCACTGCCACAGGAGGTGGCGGCGGGTACAAGCATGGACGGCTTCAAGAGGGAATTAGATAAGCATATGGAGCAGAGGTCCATCAGTGGCTATTAGCCACAAGGTATAGATAGGAACTCTCAGGCTGGGGCAAGGGATGCTCTGTATTCTTGGTGCTTGGGGGGGGCAACAGTGGGAGGGCTTCTAGTGTCCTGGCCCCACTGCTGGACCTCCTGATGGCACCTGGTATTTTTGGCCACTGTGTGACAGAGTGTTGGACTGGATGGGCCATAGGCCTGATCCCACATTGGCTTCTCTTATGTTATTATGTTGACTACATTGATAAATATGATATTCACACACCACTGTCAACTGCCCCATGACTGCGCAAAGCTGCCCAGCTAGTGCACGTGGTTTGTTAATGATGCATAAAGTTGGATTGTTGAAACATTATTTCCTACTGCCTGGACCCTCTAACTTGGGAAGACATTTTTTTGATGGCAAGCGTAGGTGGGAAGTAAGCTCTTAACTGGCTCATTTTCAAGAAGCTGCATATGTGATTTGCATCTAAAACTATTATTGGTACAAATGATAAATGAGAGCATGTGGTCCAGCAAACATGTGCCTCAGGCAACATTCCATTCATCATAATTATTCCTTTTGTTACTCTGTCGAATGTTCCCCGGCAGCGATCCTGTTTGTCATAAATAACATCAGTCTGTCCTTCGAGGGCCACAAAGACTGTGTTTGGTCCTTGGCTTGAGGCTTCTTTTGATTTCTCTTTGTCATCTTTTGGGGCACGTTATATGCTTAGATAAAATTGACCCACCCACCCCAAGGGAAGGCGATGAGCTCCATGTTATAATCAAGCAAGCCATTTCAGACTGAATCTTCAAACAAAAACTGTGAAGGCCTTATCAATGAAAACATATTGAGCTAAGTTAATTTTGAGCCATTGCCGAAATTGCTGCCAACCAGGCTACGTATGAAAGAACACTGTGTGCAGTGCACGTGTCCGTTGTTGAGCAGATTACGTCAAAAACATTTTTACAATTAAGCAGCTGAAGTGTTTTTCTTGCACCTGTTTAACCTCACCAAGTTGCCAGGACAGAAGTTCTTGCTTCAGCAATTAAATGAACAGTGATGACTCTTTAATAGGGTTGCCAAGTCCCCCCGGGGGGCAGAGAAACCCCCGCCCGAGAGGCCCGTTCCCCACCAGCGGGGATTGGGCCGCCGGGGTGGACACCACCCCCAAAGCACGTGACGCGCTCAGCGTGAACACGTCACCCAGAGGTGATGGAGTCGTGTCGGGCACATTGCAGGGGGACGCTCTATCATCCGAGGGAAAACCCTATGGTTTTCCCTCGGATGATTGTGGCCCCACCCCCAAGGTGCACGATGCGATTGCGTCACTTCCGGGTGACGTGATTGTGGTGTGCGTGCTTCGTACACTCGGCAGGAGACTCCTGGGGACGTCCGGGACTCCCCCCGCTATTACGAAGGTAGGACTTGGCAACACTACTCTTTAATGAATTGAGATATACTTCCCTGTGTGGTGGTCCGGTGTGGCAAACCAGTATCCATAGTTGTTCTTGGTGCCACTAACACGAGAGCCGTAACAGTTCAGTTTTTAATAGCTCGTTCCTCAGTGGCGGCTCCTAATCGAAGGCCTGGTGGAAGAGCATGAGCGTTTGAGAGTCAGAGCTCCCTTCGTTAGATACCAGTCACAATGGAGTCAGAAGGTGGGAGGGGGGTTGCAGAGAAGGCAGTCAGGATGCAGAGATGCCGTGTGCATTGTAACCAGCTTGACTGGAGCAGAGAGGGACTGCTGGGGGTGGGGGGCAGAAAATTTGCATCTGTAGCATCCAAGCTATTAAGGCACCAGTGGCCTATTTTCCAAGTCTGTCTTTAATAAGAAAAATAACAACTGTGTTACTAGATACCCATAATTATGCAGCTGGCGTGGTCAAGCATTCACTCATCTCATTGTCTGCTGTAAGTCTGTTAGTTCATTATAATATGATTCTTGCAATGCTGTCCTAAGCAGAGTTACACCCTTCTGAGCCCTTTAACTTCAGTGGAGCAAAGTGCAAGTCCAGTGGCCCCTTTACACCAACAAAGTTTTGTTCAAGGTATAAGCTTTCGCATGCACGCACACTTTTTCGGATACGTTGAAATGGAAGTTACCAGTCCATACATATAGGTAGAGGGGTAAGCAGCAAATTAGCATACAACCTCATGAAGATGTTTAACAGATTCAAGGACCAAACAGGAATAACAAACTTTGTTTATATGGTTAGAAAGGTAAAGGTTTCCCCTGCTCGAAAGCTAGTTGAATCCGACTCTAGGGGGTGGTGCTCATCTCAGTTTCCAAGCCAAAGAGCCAGCACTGTCCAAAGATGTTTCTGTGGTCATGTGGCCAGCATGACTAAATGCCGAGGTGCACGGAATGCTGTTACCTTCCAACCGAAGTGGTATCTACTTGCAATTTCTTGCTTTCGAACTGCTAGGTTGGCAGGAGCTGGGGCCAGAGACGGGAGCTCACTCTGTCATGTGGCACTATGGTCTCGAACTGCCGAACTACAGACCTTCCAGTCTGCAGCTCAGCATCTTAACCTCTAAGCCTAGGCTCCAGTTTATATGGTTACCATTTTTTTAAGTTTAATTCTAGGGGGAAACATAGTGAAGGAAATAAATATATCAAAATTGGAGATTGATGGGCAGATGTACTGTTTTTAATGCCACAATTCCAGGATGGCACTGAGAATAACTAACACCAGTGAATAAGTATGAACGCCACAACATCATGTCTCAATGAAACTCGAGTCAGTGGATAAATTATTAAATATAGATGAAGAGCAACGATGTATCATCAGTGGTAAATAATGCATTGACTCACATATCATTGACACTTGATGTTGCAGTGGACATTCGTGTTCGCTGATATTAGATAGCATACGTTGGGTGATTGGTACATGTGTGCTGTATCATTTGGTGCTTTAACTGATACTCTTAACATCAGTTTCCTATTTTGACCCATAGTGTCTGGTACTTTGTTTCTGCTCCATAGAGATCTGTCTCTTTGTTCTTGTTTGTGACGAATGACTTGGTGGTATTAGTTAAAAATGTGACATCCTTAAAGCAAAGATAGCCCTGTGTCTAGCAGTGCTTTCACACATGCTAAATGACACAGTTTCAATCCACTTTGGTGACCATTGGCAAGTGGATTTTGCCATTTCACACAGTAAACTTCAGTTGCAAAGTGCATTGAAAGTGGATTGAAAGTACATTTTTTAGTATTTATTATAATTTATTACTTATTTGTTCAATTTATACCCCGCCCTCCCTGCCGAAGCAGGCTCCGGGCGGCTTACATGTGTACCATAGGTTAGCACCATAGGTTAGGTTCCAGTAGTGGACTATGAAGCCCCACCCCCCCAGTCCTGTGACCACAGCCTTTAACTGTTATAGTTAGTATTGGACTGTTCAGGAGTTTTTTGTCCCAGGCCGGACCAATGCTTTACTTGAATTTTCAGACAATAAGCATATTCTGCACTTTCCCGGAATAGGGGATCTCTGCAGATTGAGTTGCTGGCTGTAAACCTCGGGTTTGTATTTATATATCACTGTGTATTGTTTTTGCAGGAGATCTATAGAAAGGATTGCAATTTAGCTGCCCAGCTGCTCCAATGTAGCAAGAATTACGACAGGGCGCATAAGCTTTCCGAGGTAATGTAAACAAAACTGCATGTCTCTGAAATGCGATAATGTGGCTATGGCTGTGGCCTGCTACTGCTCTTCAGGGAAGGGAGAAAGCCAAAGGGGTGGGCTTGTTGGCATGTGTAGTCAAGGAAGGACCAGAAGACAGAAGTGGGGGAAATGGGTAAGGAGGACAACCGGGTTGGGAGGGGAGTGATTTGTCTGTGAGAACATCAGTAGCCTGCCAGGGTACAGGGGTAGTGCTCACCTAGAGGTGTGGAGAAGAAGCGATTGGCTTGGGATCCTGGATCAGGACGTCTGGAGGGCAAGGGAATGGATGCCACTGAAGGGAGAATTGCTGGGGCCCAACAGCTTTAAGGCCCTGCTGAAAGTCTTGGGAGAGGCCATGCAAGCTATCGATTGTCTGTGGTGGTACAGAAGCGTCTTCAGTATTTTTCAGCAGGCTTTGTAAGGCCAAACCCGCCCAACCTGCTAGCTGTGACCGAGTTATATTCAGAAGCCAATACTGATCTTCTGGTGATCAGATCCCAGAGGAACCGGGGTTCCATCTTGCTATGTTAGTGAACTTCCCAGTTGGCAGCAGTGGGAGAAACAGAAAAGCCACCAAAGTTGAAGAAAACGCCAGAGGCTGGAGAAAGTTCATTGGACATGTCTCCTACCAAGATAGGATAGATGTCAATGTCATCTTTGAAGCTTAGGATGGGTAGAAACACCAGTAGAAGCTTTGTTAGAAATTTTATTTTCTTGAAAAGCAGTGATAGCCCCCCACTATTACCATTCCCAGGATTGAAATATATTATACCATAGCCACAAACCATACACTATCAAGAACTATCAGGCTTACATCTTAAGCTGGGATGGATCAAAGTCCTTCCAGGAGCGCCCCAGCAAGAGGGAGCGAAATGATATTCGGCAGTGATGGAGCAGCAAGGTCACTGGACAGAAAGCTGTGCACGGGCCCATTTCTCAGGATTTATGAAGCTGGATTACCAGCGCTGAACAGGTGGGCCATGTTATAAAAGGGGCATAGTGGTTCTAGATAGTCAACACTATAGTTGGGGTACCATCATAGGCAGGGGTCGTTTCGTAGAAAAAGAGCTAGGGGAACTCATTAGCATATCTCATTAGCATATGCCACACCCCCTGACATCACCAGAAGTGTGTCATAAGGCCACACACCCTGACATCACCGGAAGTGTGTCATAAGGCCACACACCCCGCCCTCAACGGTCCCAGCCGCTGCTGCTGGCCTTGCAGCTCCACTGCCGAGCCC